TACTGGTTCTTTATGATGTGTGTGGGTGTGTCTGTGTTTGTGTGTGCACTTTTTCAAGCATTGTCCAAGTAGAAGAAGAGATTGGGTTTTTTTTTTTTTTAAAACATCATTTAAAATCTCAAAAAACAAATTGAAACTGAATTACACAAAGAAGAAAACAACACACTTTAAAACTGCAGTAACTATATACACATGATGTTTCCAGGGGGCAGGCAAACTGCTTGGGGCCCCAGACCAGTAAGGGGGGCCCCTGAGGGCTAACAAACTTTAAACCAAAGCAGTGGCCCAAAATGTTCAATTTTGCAATGACAGTAGGAGACCTCCCTAAGGGGCCCCATCTGACAGCACTCACTCTCGTTGCAGTGAAAACCAAAGTTTGTCAATGAAAGTTAAAAAAGGAAGGGGGAAACTAATGAATGACTTCCCAATATGGTGAAAGGGGCGTGACATTTCGAGAACCGTGCTGAGCACTGACCAATTACAGCAGAGCGACAGGCGACCAATCAGAGCAGACTTGGCCCACGTGGGTCTTGCAGTGTGGGCACAACAGAGCGTAGCTGACAGACTCAGAGCGGAGAGGGAGCAAGGAGGAGCAGTACATGAAAACAAACACGTTTTTTTGAAACATTAGCGATTGTGAACGTACTTTAGTAGGCACATAAATTAAATATATGAACCCATAAAAGGGCATAAAATGACCTCTGTAAGAGTCCAATGGACGCTTATTTATTCAAACCTTTTACATCAACAAGTTAAGATAATATGTTTTAAAATTTGAATGCTGAAGCCAAAGGATGCAACAATAAAGCAACATGTAAAGAGTGTACCTGGAGTTGTGGTCGATGGAGGGCCGGGGTGCTGGAGGTGGCACTGAGGGGATTCTCTATTTCCTGGTCCAGCAGGTCCGGCTTTATCAGCTGCAACACCATCGAGTCAAGAGGAGACATGCTCTCCTGAATGAAGAGACGAATCAGAGAAAAATGGGTGAGGACATCCCTGAGCTCAGAAATGTAGCTTCTAACATGTTTTTATGACACAATCTTTTTTCATTTTCATCTGTAAACAACTATCCACCAGGAAGTTATCCATGTTAAGGAGGGTGTTCAGACTTTTTACCCTTGGGCACTGACTTATGCAAAAGGTGGCATGACGTATATACTGTATGTATCACTCCTCTTTTTTTTCTGCTTTTTTTCACTTTCACATCTTTAAGGGGCTCTAAAACAGGTTCTAAGACTTATAGATTGTTTTTTTTTGTATAGGACTGCTGGATTTATGTCCAATGAGTTATTTAATGCAGAGAAAAATGTTTGAAAAAAGCTTTGCCTTTATTCAGGCGGCCGTCTGTTTTGAAAAGCTCTCTCTCTTCTTTGGAATAATTGGGGATGCTGACGCTCAGAAAAAAAATCATAGGTGGACACAGGGCCTTAATCTTTGAACGGCTAGAATCTTGCAAAAACAACCATGAATGCTTATCAACCCTGGAAAAAAATGGAAATCAAATGAACCAATACCTTGTTTTCAGCAGAGGTCAGCAAATACAAATTTGGGGCCAGGGTCTGATTATTTTTGTTTCCCACATCACTACTGTTGGGAAAGAACTCATGAGTTGGTGTGACCTCTGTATCAATCTACTTCCTGTGATACCAGTGACACTTTATTCGGACCAGAGTTATTCACTTATTAAGGACCAGAGTTATTTTTGCTTCATCCCATGCTCATCAATGTGTTCTTGTGACACATGCTGTACAAGACAAGAAAAGTATGAATGTTGTTCCTCTTTCACTGATTACGGTAAAAGAACAAACAGCACTTCTGAAATATGTTGATTTTGTTATTATCACTAATATAATATTGTTATTTTATTTTTGAGATGTGAATGTGTATGCTTGAACAATGGTGATAATGAAGCCATATGTGATTGTGTGTGCGTGTCTGTGTGTATGTGTGTGTAAATGAAGAAAACATACTGCAAATGAGTTGTCGCTCATTTAGAATGCTAATATTGGTGAAACTGACTTTGCACAGTGCATTATATTACAGTTGAGTTTTATTTTGTACATCATTTTGAAATAAATATGTAATGTCAAAATGTCTGAATCGTCATTTGTTTAATCTGAACTTTTAGCATTATTCTTTTTTTTTGTTTTGTTTTATTTAACTCTCAAATTAATTTCCATTGGGGGAATATCGCAAAATGTACAAAATGGCCCTTAACCATGACAAGAAGTCAAAAAACGAAGGCTTGTTTTACATTTCATTGGCAAGGAAATGTTAATAGGTAAGATACGTAAGAATCCAAGTTGATTAAATAGGCATGGACTGTTTACCCATCTGGATGTTTTGCCTTTCATGCAAACTTCCTTGATTTCCAATTTGCATATTCGTGTGTAACAAGACAAATTATCCAGTAAATAGGGTAGTTGGTAATGCTCACGGGTAAACTGGAAATACAGAGGGAGAGGGAACGTCTACAAAGTGACTGATGTGTATCCCTCTTGATCGTCTTTTTATTAAAATTATTTTCACCTTGACTCTTTGCCGGCCTCCGAAGCTATGAATGGGAGTCAGTACATCTGGATCCTAAATGGTGAGTCAGAGTGTTTTAAACTAAGCCCACTATTGGTAAGTTTGTGTTAATTTAAACAGTGCACTTAATTATTATATTTCATTAAGGCAAGGTAGGCTTATTGATAAAGCACATTTTAACAGCAAGGAAATTCAAAGTGCTTCACACAAGACGTCAAAAAGCGTCATGACAGAGGAAAGAAAGAAACATTAAAATAGAAAATGTAAAAATCACTGAAATACTGTATGTTAAAATAAAATCTGAATCATTAAACTAAAATTAATTGAAATAAATAAAATAAGATTTAAAAAATAACAAGTGTAAAAGTTACAGTGCAGAGTTTCAATTGAAATTTAATGAAAGGCAGTAAGAGTTTTCAACCTTGATTCAAAGGAGCTGAGAGTTTCAGTTGACCTGCAGGTTTCTGGGAGTTTTTTTCCAGATATAAGGAGCGTAGAAGCTGAACACTGCTTCTCAGTGTTTGGTTCTGACTCTGGGGACAGAGAGCAGACCTGTCCCAGACGACCCGAGCGGTCTGGATGGTTCACAGTTAATCAGAAGGTCACTGATGTATTTTTGGCCCTAAACCATTCAGCACATTATAAACCAGCAGCAGGATTTTAAAGTCGATTCTCTGACAGACTGGGAGCCGGTGTAAAGACCTCCAGAACTGGACTAATGTGATCCTTTTTGTTGGTCTTGTCTAAGTCTAAATCTCTAACTCGGTTGTCGAATCGCCTTACAGGCATTTCCCTCATGATGACATCTGGAGCACTGGCAGGTAAACTTTTTGTCTTTAAACTCACTTCATTGATGTTCAAAATACTGATCCATTTCACTCTACTGTATAGACATCAAGGATTGTGTTTACTGTATCTTTTATGTACATTTTTGGAAAGCTTTGTGCTGAAGACTTATTTGTTGTTTCTTTTGACTGGTGAATATTTGTTTACTCAACTAGGTGTTCTTATGCAAAATGTGGCTCTGAGTCGAACTGCAGACCAGTCTTCATCGCACCCTGATGGTCCTGCCAGAAATGCTGTTGATGGAAACCGAGACCCAAATTTTGCTAAAGGATCCTGCTCACTTACCCACCAAGAGTCCAATCCCTGGTGGAGGGTGGACCTGCAGAATGTGTACACAGTTACTGCTGTGATGATAACCAACAGAAATGAATTTGAAAACAGGCTAGACGGTGCTGAAATCTGGATTGGAAACTCATTGGAGGACAATGGTGCCAAAAAATCCAGGTGCTTGACGCAGACTTCTATATTACATCCCCCATTGGGACAAGGAAAAGCTTTTGCCTACCTCACTTTGTGTTTTCTTTTCTGATCCTTTTCTCAAACTCAGGTGTGCAATCATCTCCCACATTCCCAAAGGACGCACTTTCTACTTCCCATGTAGCTCTACAGAGGGACGCTACGTCACAGTTTTTCTTCCAGGAACAAAGAAGATTCTTACTCTCTGCGAGGTTGAAGTTTTCCCTTCAGATTATGCTGATGGTACGTACATATGATTCAAACAAGTTTTGGAGTGCAAGAACTCTTCAGTCTAGGGCCAATAATATTAAAATCAGTCAATAACAGACAACATTTTTCTAAATAATGGTAAACCCTACGAGGGAGGATTAGGGCCATGTGAAAAAATTATGATTTTTTTAAATTTCGAGATTAAACTCCTGAAATTTACAAAAATAAAGTAGTAAATTTACGTGAATTTACGTGAATAAAGTAGTAAATTTACGAGAATAAAGTCCTAAATTTACAAGAATAAAGTCCCAAATTTACGAGAATAAAGTTGTAAATTTACAAGAATAAAGTCCTAAATTTAACATGGCCCTAATCCTCCGTCGTAAATCCCACTGTTTTTAAGGTTGAATAAGTTTGAGAGTTGTTATTTACCCGAGTTGACGAAAATCAACCTGTATGGGCCTAGTGTTTTTGGTTCACATTTTTTCAGTCTTGAGACTTCTGCTTTTGGGCCAATGAGACCTGTGACAGGATCCAGGAGGCATTCTGCCTCACAAATTGTCTATCATCAGTCCCATTCTCTTGAACTTTGAATCTCAGTGACACCTTGGTGACATTTCATCAAATTTGGCCAATTTGTGGATTTCAACTCAAAGATTGAGTCTGATAAGACTGAGTTTGTGAATACGTCTGAGATCAATGTCACTGTGAACTCTCATGACACATTTTTGAGAATAAACCAATCATTTATGAGCAATTTTTATTTTTTATTTTATTTTTTTTTATTTATTTTTTTACGTTTTTTAAGTCCACCTGCCCGTCCATCCAATTAGTGATTGCCTGTTGCAATTAGCACTTGTTTAAACTTGTATGCACTTGATGAATCATTGTAAAGAAGGATGTCTGTCTTTCTTTGTTTCAAGGAAATCATGTACCCAATCTGGCTCTAAGAGGCAAAGCATTCCAGTCCTCAACAGCTAGTGGTTCTAGTTCTGCGTCCAAGGCCATCGATGGGCGACGCGATTCCACGTACTATAAAGGGTTTTGTACCCACACCTTGGAAGAGACAAACCCATGGTGGAGGTTGGACCTGCGAGAAACACACGCAGTCACATCTGTCAAAGTAACCAATAGAGGAGACTGCTGCGCTCAGAGGCTGGATGGAGCCGAGATCCGAATCGGGAACTCGGCAGAGAACAACGGAAATGACAACCCCAAGTAAAAACCATAATAAGGGAGCATTCAGCATCAATTTCATTTTTTAATCACTATCAGACTAATATATTCTTTTATCTGGCATATATAACTTTCTTTGTGCATAGCCAGAAACCAAAATAGAAGCTGCTCTATCACTAATCGCCCAGCAAGGCGTATTATTCAGGAGAACTTGTAAAAGCTATTTCTCTCCAGCGATTATGTTAAACATTCTTCAGTGCTCATGGGAAAAGTTAAGACAGGAATGAACTCCCTCAAGGGGAGTTATAATGTTGTCAACTTCGCAAAATTCAACCAATCCCTGCAAACTTTACATGACTTTGAAGTCTTAACCAAACGCCAGGATTCATTCCTTAGCAGCCTGTTTAAGTTTGTTGTCACCGGCGTTTGCCGCACTGAAGAAGGTTGCACCAGTGCTACTTTCTGTTCCAAGCGTTTGTGTTTTTCTTCATCTCATATAGCTTTGAATGACGGCATTTCCATCATGGGATTCTGAAAATGGACATTTGCAGTGTGTCCAAAATGCAGCATATTCATTGGCTGGTACTTTTTGAGATGAGCTGTAACTCTCCTGGAGTTTCTTTGAGCCATTCATGACTCTGATGTTGTGTTTGAATGAAAAGTCTGTAAGTTGACCAAAACCTACTGACTTTTGACTCTTTTCCACTGTCAGGTGTGCTTCCATCTCCCACATCGGGGCGGGTAAAACGGTCACATTTTACTGCGAGGGAGGCAGCGTGATGGGTCGCTTTGTCAACGTCATTATCCCTGGACCGAAGAAGATTCTCACTCTGTGTGAAGTGGAGGTGTATGCAGGTACAACTGTCACTGACTTTGCCTTGTTTTTTTTGGTTTGTTTCAAAAATTCCGATAATAGTTCATTCCTCTTGACTTTTCTCACTTTAGTGGACCCTCTCGCAAACGTGGCCCCAAACGGACAAGCAACGCAGTCATCCCTTTACGCGAACAATGTACATGCAGTCAATGTTATAAATGGGGATATGACTGGATTATGTTCACATACTGCAAACCAGTCCTCTCCTTGGTGGAAATTGGACTTGTTAGCTGTGCACAGGGTTCGTGCTGTTACTATCTTCAACAGGCCAGACTGTTGTCCTGAAAGGCTCATTGGGGCAGAGATCCTGATTGGGAACTCTCCGTCAACCGAGGTCACCCAAAACCCCAGGTAAGTCAGACTTATCTCTTAAAGAAATCATTCTTCAGCTTCAGTCTAGCAGCACGATAGAACTATCATTCCTTAAATTCCGCTCAAGCAGCCATTAGAAAGCCTTAGCAGCACCACTGGTGATGGAAATTCTTAGTTTTGTATATAATCTGAGAAATATTTCCATCATCTTCCTCCATTAGATGTGGTACTATCTCATCGGTTGAAGGTACATTAACACACACCTTCCATTGTGGAGACATGGAAGGTCGCTACGTGGTTGTGATCTTACCGGGACAGAAAAGGATTTTGTCACTCTGTGAAGTGGAAGTGTATGCTTCTTTGGCAGGTATGTTGCTTCCCCTTTTTGTCCATAATATAAAAAAAGACCTGATTATTTGAAGACTCAATATGTAGATTCCTCTCAATCAATAACAAAACGATGACTTCGAGGCTAGCTGGGGATCATTGGAGTTCTCTCTCGCTACCTTCTGATTGTGAAAGCAAGTTAACTGAGAGTAAGCTAGCACAGCAGTGAATAAACACACACATAGGTGAACATGGCGGTTCAGCATATTATTTTTTATATCCCGCCTCTGACATGGCATATAGCCAATTCATTGTTTTGGGGTGGCCAATCAAATTTCTAGTGGGGGCCCATGCCACCCCTTTGGACACGCCCCTGGCAAAGAGACAAGATGTGTTCTATCCAAAAAGGGTCGGCCAGATACACAAATTAAAGGTTATTTTCAATGGCTTCAGGGTTCATTGCATCAGACAAAATGTTAGTGTAAGCATTTCAGGGACATTTTGGATCCAATCCCGAATTTTGGCTGTCAGTTGTCAGCATTTCATCATTGACTAAAACTTCCCGAGGAAATTAATCATCAAAACAAGCCTGTTTTAAAATGTATTTCAAGTATGTTTTTGGCCAGCAGACACCGCTCCTCCTCCTCCTGCGACTGAGAGCATGCTGTTGAACGGCAGGAATGTGACGGTGGTGGGTGAGCGGCTTTGCTGGTCCGATGCTCTCCTCTACTGCAGACGTCATCACTGGGACCTGCTGAGCATTCTCAGCCGAGAGGAGCAGAGCGAGGTGGAGCAGCTGCTGAGCCGAGGTTCTTTCCTGCTCACAGATCATGTCTGGCTGGGGTTGCGCAGGTACGGCTGTCCATGGGGGCTGTATAAAATGTGACCCTTGGATTTTCATCTTCAAAATTTCAAGTGTTTAAATCTTATAATTTAAAATGTTTTTGAAGTATTACCATCTGCATAGGTCCCTTTTTTAAATATTTGTTCGTTTATAGTACTCTGATATAATGTAAAGGTCACATATTGTGGCTTCATGACATCACAAAGGGCAGTAACCCCTCCCCCAGGTGGGTGACACTCCCACAGCTCGGCGTTTGTTCTGCCCTCTGAGTCCGCCTTCTCACCGTAAACAACTGGGCATGGAGCGGGAGAGGCCAAGACAATCGAGGCCTTACAGAGAGGGGGCGTGGTCAAACACTGTTTTATTTATTTATTTCAAAATAGGGACAGTGCACATTAATGAACATTAACATGTAAATACTGTATACCCGGTTGTAGCCATGGACTTAATTCCACCTGTAGTCCCTTGGCAGGTTGGTGGTACAGGTGGTAGGCTTTGGGATTTGTTTCAAAACAAACCTGGATAAAGTGCTCATTTGCATTTAAAGCTACAGACACTGAAACAGCCTGTTCTGAGAAACTTCACAGGCATGTTTTTTGAGACCTCTGAGACTTATTTAAACTGGTCGGAAAAGGAGGAGAATATGTGACCTTTAAGTTTGCAACAACACAGTCTATTATTCTAAGTGCAGAAACGTTTGCATGGAAGAAACCTTTCAACACAAAGATTGGAGGTTGAAAGAGATAGGAAGAAGCACTTTTGACTGAAGTCTATGGTCCTGATGAAGACTCAAATGGCAGATTCCTGCTCTCTCCCTCAACCAAATCAGAGGGCTTAATCCATTTAAATGTTGCTGATGAATTCTGTTTACTCAAAAGACACAGGTCGTCCAGTCAAATGTAGCGTGTCCTTTGTTTTTGTGCCATATTTGCATGGACGTGCTTCGATGCATTGAAAACAGCTCTCAGTGAAGCCACACCCTAAAAAATCTTTAAAAAAAATAACCTTAGAAACAAACTGAAATCTATTTGTCGCTAACATAAAATTACAAGCCACAGTTTTCCTTTTTTTTTTTTTTTCAGCACATTTTCTTGTTAGACCTTCTGAAATGCCAGGATGTGTTGGAGACTGAACAAAGCATAAGGGACCTTAACATGCCAGCACCTTTAATGTGTAAACCTGTTCATTTGATTGGGCAGACAGATAATGGGGGACAGCTGGTTCTGGATGTCCGGTGAAGCCATGGATTTTACCAAATGGCAGTACGATTCTGCCCCCCAACGTGTGAGTCACGCCTGTGGAGCTGTAGCCAGAGGAGACAGCTTCCTGTGGAAAGACAGGCCGTGTGAGGAGCACCTCAACTTTATCTGCCATTCAGGTGAGGGTATCACCTCACACCTTAAATATCTGCACATTCTGTGTTCCAACAGAATATATAAAACGTTCCTGTTTTTGTGCCTCAGGTGGCGAGGATGGAGCACATAGAGTGTATTTCTACAGCAGCCGCCAAGACCCACATACCTAGTACTTTAGGGTTCTATTAGAACCTACTGCGCAGTAACAGGCTTAAACTAATTATAGGAGAGATCTTCTCACATTCAGCATATTGAATATATTTTAAATGTTTATAATCAAGTCAAAACTTCACCTTAAGACATGTCAAATAAGTAGGAGAGAATCAAAAATGAGAATAAAATGCTAAATATCAGAGAAGAATTGATCCCAAATGATTTGAGCCTGAACCTGGAAATGAAACTTAACCTTCAACTTTTTCTCAACATTTTAACTTTTTATAATTTGTTATAAAAGAAAATCTTCTCCCTTCTACATTTTTTAATTTCCCCCCCTGGACAAATACAGTTTTTTTTAATTGAATTGCATTTATTTCCCTCATGTCCCTCAGTTTGTTTTTAAGTCAAAGAAAGGCTCTTAAACTCCCTACACCACTTTTAATCTGCTGTTTGAATAACATTTCAGTATACTTTGTCCACAAATCTCAACCGTTTGGATTTGACAAAAGCGCAGCATCATTAATACTCTTCAGAAGCAATGTGTGGGTCACAAACAGTGGACTGTAAATATTAATGGATGAAGTCTGAGTGATGTCAGCCATCTGTTTCTGCCGGCTGGAAATCCTGTCTCAGTCTAACTTTCAGTCAACCTGTTGACAGGTTGAGAGCTGAAGCTGAGGTGGGTTTTAAGCCTCTTGACAAACCGTTAAACCACGCCCACCTGTCAATCATGTCAGCTCCACGCCTAACTATGGATAACACGTCTCGTTTTCAAGATCAAAATGGAGCAGTTATTTAAAAAATAACCCCCTGTACTGTGTGTGCCAGTAATGACAATCCCTAATCAGACCTGTTTCTTTTTTTTATATTTTTTTATTTCTGCTGCAAAAATGGCTTTTTTGCCTGTTGTGTGTATGTGACTTCCTGGAGTCAGCCTCAAGCGGACACTCGAGCACCTGCAGGATTTTGCACTTCAGCATTGGCTTTATTTTTCTGGAGGTTGCCGGTTGGTGGTTCACTGTGATCTCATAAAAGCATCCGTCCTTTATAGCTTTTTTTTTACTGTTTCTGCATTTTTCATGTGTTGGACCAAATATAATATCACTCTTTACATTGTTTCCATTTAAACTGAGTTCAGATCCTATTTGAAAACCATTGCAAACTCATTATTTATACTCACTACATTATGTATTATATATATACATAAATGAATAGACTATACTTAAGTGTGAAATTTGACATCATAATATATACTGTGATAAGTTTAACTTTCACTTCAGCTGGTGTATAATGTGTGAGATGTCTCGTAGTTTAGAAATTCAGATTTGATTTAAGGATATCAATATTCATCACATCACTATAGTTCATTTTGCTTTGAAATAAATAGACGATGTAACAGTTCTGTACATCCTGTTGTTAGCCTTTAGAATAAATCTATTTATACATAAAGTGCTTGTGGGTCTTAAGATGTTAAAATATGAAGGAAGTGTCTTTGGAGGCTGTGTAAGTGAAGCTCTGTTATTTAGCCTGCCGTCGCTAGTGGAGCAGAAGAGGGATCAAATAAAGAATTTATCAACCAGTTCTGGCCTCAGGAGTGTCAGTGATTCTGATTTACCTGCCAACACCTGACACACCCAGAGACAGGGCTGGACGGGGATTTACCTTGTTCTTCTTGTCATACATGTACTGGTTCTTTATGATGTGTGTGGGTGTGTCTGTGTTTGTGTGTGCACTTTTTACAGCATTGTCCCAAGAGAAGAAGAGATTGGGTTTTTTTTTTTGGAAACATCATTTAAAATCTCAAAAAACAAATTGAAACTGAATTACACAAAGAAGAAAACAACACACTTTAAAACTGCAGTAACTATGTACACATGATGTTTCCAGGGGGCAGGCAAACTGCTTGGGGCCCCAGACCAGTAAGGGGGGCCCCTGAGGGCTAACAAACTTTAAACCAAAGCAGTGGCCCAAAATGTTCAAATTTTGCAATGACAGTAGGAGACCTCCCTAAGGGGCCCCATCTGACAGCACTCACTCTCGTTGCAGTGAAAACCAAAGTTTGTCAATGAAAGTTAAAAAAGGAAGGGGGAAACTAATGAATGACTTCCCAATATGGTGAAAGGGGCGTGACATTTCCGAGAACCGTGCTGAGCAACTGACCAATTACAGCAGAGCCGACAGGCCGACCAATCAGAGCAGACTTGGCCCACGTGGGGTCTTGCAGTGTGGGCACAACAGAGCGTAGCTGACAGACTCAGAGCGGAGAGGGAGCAAGGAGGAGCAGTACATGAAAACAAACACGTTTTTTGAACATTAGCGATTGTGAACGTACTTTAGTAGGCACATAAATTAAATATATGAACCCATAAAAGGGCATAAAATGACCTCTGTAAGAGTCCAATGGACGCTTATTTATTCAAACCTTTTACATCAACAAGTTAAGATAACTATGTTTTAAAATTTGAATGCTGAAGCCAAAGGATGCAACAATAAAAGCAACATGTAAAGAGTGTACCTGGAGTTGTGGTCGATGGAGGGCCGGGGTGCTGGAGGTGGCACTGAGGGGATTCTCTATTTCCTGGTCCAGCAGGTCCGGCTTTATCAGCTGCAACACCATCGAGTCAAAAGGAGACATGCTCTCCCTGAATGAAGAGACGAATCAGAGAAAAATGGGTGAGGACATCCCTGAGCTCAGAAATGTAACTTCTAACATGTTATTTATGACACAATCTTTTTTCCATTTTCATCTGTAAACAACTATCCACCAGGAAGTTATCCATGTTAAGGAGGGTGTTCAGACTTTTTACCCTTGGGCACTGACTTATGCAAAAGGTGGCATGACGTATATACTGTATGTATCACTCCTCTTTTTTTTCTGCTTCTTTTCACTTTCACATCTTTAAGGGCTCTAAAACAGGTTCTAAGACTTATAGATTGTTTTTTTTGTAACTATAGGACTGCTGGATTTATGTCCAATGAGTTATTTAATGCAGAGAAAAATGTTTGAAAAAAGCTTTGCCTTTATTCAGGCGGCCGTCTGTTTTGAAAAGCTCTCTCTCTTCTTTGGAAATAATTGGGGATGCTGACGCTCAGAAAAAAAATCATAGGTGGACACAGGGCCTTAATCTTTGAACGGCTAGAATCTTGCAAAAACAACCATGAATGCTTATCAACCCTGGAAAAAAATGGAAATCAAATGAACCAATACCTTGTTTTCACCAGCAGAGGTCAGCAAATACAAATTTGGGGACCAGGGTCTGATTATTTTTGTTTCCCACATCACTACTGTTGGGAAAGAACCTCATGAGTTGGTGTGACCTCTGTATCAATCTACTTCCTGTGATACCAGTGACACTTTATTCGGACCAGAGTTATTCACTTATTAAGGACCAGAGTTATTTTTGCTTCATCCCATGCTCATCAATGTGTTCTTGTGACACATGCTGTACAAGACAAGAAAAGTATGAATGTTGTTCCTCTTTCACTGATTACGGTAAAAGAACAAACAGCACTTCTGAAATATGTTGATTTTGTTATTATCACGAATATATTATTGTTATTTTATTTTTGAGATGTGTATGTGTATGCTTGAACAATGGTGATAATGAAGCCATATGTGATTGTGTGTGCGTGTGTGTGTGTGTGTGTGTGTGTGTGCGTGTGCGTGTGTGTAAATGAAGAAAACATACTGCAAATGAGTTGTCGCTCATTTAGAATGCTAATATTGGTGAAACTGACTTTGCACAGTGCATTATATTACAGTTGAGTTTTATTTTGTACATCATTTTGAAATAAATATGTAATGTCAAAATGTCTGAATCGTCATTTGTTTAATCTCAACTTTTAGCATTATTCTTTTTTTTTGTTTTGTTTTATTTAACTCTCAA